GGGAATGCAAGCTGGTGCAGCCACTCTGGAAAACAGTATGGAGGTTCCTCAAAAAACTAAAACTAGAACTACCCTATGACCCAGCAATTGCACTACTAGGCATTTATCCAAGGGATACAGGTATGCTGTTTCTAAGGGACACATGCACCCCCATGTTTATAGCAGCACTACCAACAATAGCCAAAGTATGGAAAGAGCCCAAATATCCATCGATGGATGAATGGATAAAGAAGATGTATATATATACAATGGAGTATTACTCGGCAGTCAAAAACAATGAAATCTTGCCATTTGCAGCTACGTGGATGGAACTGGAGAGTATTATGCTAAGTGAAATTAGTCAGTCAGAGAAAGACAAAAATCATATGACTTCCCTCATATGAGGACTTTAAGAGACAAAACAGATGAACATAAGGGAAGGGAAACAAAAATAATATAAAAACAGGGAGGGGGACAAAACGGAAGAGACTCATAAATATGGAGAACAAATAAAGGGTTACTGGAGGGGGTGTGGGAGAGGGGATGGGCTAAATGGGTAAGGGGCACTAAGGAATCTACTCCTGAAATCATTTTTGCACTATATGCTAACTAATTTGGATGTAAATTTAAAGAAATTAAAAATAAAATTAAAAAAAATTATAAAGTAAATAAAATAAAGTAAAAACATTAAAAAAAAAAAAAAAGAAACCTGTATCTTTAACAAACTGTTTTTGGATATAAATCACTTGCAACCATAGTATCTCAAAAATAATCTTTAAAAGAAAATGGTGTATTCAACATTGTACTGGAAGTTCCAGCCAGAGCAACGAAGCAAAAAAGGGAAAAAAAAAACCAAAACAAAACAGCACCTAAATTAGAAAGAAATAAAAGTATCTTTATTCACAGATGATTCTCTTACATATGCACGATCCTAAAGTAACCACAAAAAATTATTAAAGCTTATGAATAAATTCAACAAAGTTACAAGACACAAGATCAACAGGACACAAGATCAAACACTCATGATCTTGGATTTGGCAATGGTTTCTTTTAGACAGAACAGCCACCAAAGCACAAGCAACAGAAAAACTGGAAAACTCACAAATATGTGGAAATTAAATGGTAGAATTCTCATTAACCACTGTGTCAAAGAAGAATTCAAAAAGGAAATCAAAGAGTATCTTGACCCAAAGAAAACAGAAACACAACAAATGATATTTATGGGACGGAAAAACAGTTCTAAGAGAACAGTTTAGAGTGATAAACGCCTACATTAAGAAAAAAGATCCCAGGGCGTCTGAGTGGCCCCGTCGGTTAAGCGTCCGACTCTTTATCTCCACTCAGGTCATGATCTTGGCGTTCATGAGTTCAAGCCCCACGCTGGGCTCTGTGCTGATGGTGCAGTCTGCCTGGGATTCTGTCTCTTCTTCTCTCCGACCCTCCCCCACTTGTGATCTCGCTTTCAAAATAAATAAACTTAAGACTTTTTTAAACAAAAAAGATTTCAAATAAATGACCTAACTTTATAGTTAGCTGTGAGTACAGGGTTTCCTCTTGGGGTGATGAAAAGATCTTGAGATTAGACGGAAGTAACGGTTACATAACATTGTGAATGTACTAAATGCCACCTTAAAAAAGTTAATGGTTAATTTTATGTTATATGAATTATACCTTTAAAAATGCAAAAAAAAAAATTTTTTTTAAAAGGCGGGGAAGGGAAGTGGGGCGCTGTCTTAAAACCTAAAATATTTTAGGGGCTCCTGGGTGGCTCAGTCGGTTAAGTGTCTGACCCGATCTCAGCTCAGGTCTTGATCTTAGAATTCAAGCCACATGTTGGGCTCCACGCTACGTGTGAAGCCTACTTTAAAAACAAAAAACAGGGGCGCCTGGGTGGCGCAGTCGGTTAAGCGTCCGACTTCAGCCGGGTCACGATCTCGCGGTCCGTGAGTTCGAGCCCCGCTTCGGGCTCTGGGCTGATGGCTCGGAGCCTGGAGCCTGTTTCCGATTCTGTGTCTCCCTCTCTCTCTGCCCCTCCCCCGTTCATGCTGTGTCTCTCCCTGTCCCAAAAATAAATAAATGTTAAAAAAAAATTAAAAAAAAACAAAAAAAAAACAAAAACCTAAAATATTATAAACAAGTTTATTTTCTATTCAGAAAATACAGATTTTTAAACAGATGTTAAGCAGTTTCATCTTTGCATGTTTTTAAAATAAAGCTACTTTCTCAAACACTTCTTAAGAATAATATTAATAGAGGGGCGCCTGGGTGGCGCAGTCGGTTGAGCGTCCGACTTCAGCCAGGTCACGATCTCGCGGTCCGTGAGTTCGAGCCCTGCGTCAGGCTCTGGGCTGATGGCTCAGAGCCTGGAGCCTGTTTCCGATTCTGTGTCTCCCCCTCTCTCTGCCCCTCCCCCATTCATGCTCTGTCTCTCTCTGTCCCCCAAAAAATAAATAAAAACGTTGAAAAAAAGAATAATATTAATAGAATGTTCCATTTCTTACCAGAAGACTCTTTTCCATTCTGTTTTTCATAGAGGGTGCCCACAGACATCAGGAAAACAATAACCAGGAATACTGGAATTCTCCATGAGCCCGCCAGGGATGCTGAAAATTATCAAGAGTTAACATTTTTAGTTGAAAACCTAGCACACATCTTTAAAAGAATTAGTAAACTGACATAACAATTTGCCATAGAGGACGTTAACAAAATTGTTTCACAGGGAATTTTTTTTTTTTTAAAGGCCCTAAGAGAGATGAAGCCTCAATTCAGGGTTTGTGTCAGTTAAAACCAGCTCTGCTGAGGCCCCTCGTCTAAAATTGGGTATGTGCCAGGGGAGCTTGGGTGGCTCAGTTGGTTGAGCGTCCAACTTTGGCTCAGGTCATGATCTCATGGTTCGGGAGTTTAAGCCCCGGATTGGGCTCTGTGCTGACAGCTCACAGCCTGGACGCTGCTTCGGATTCTGTGTCTCCCTCTCTCTCTGCCTCTCCCCTGTTTGTACTCTCTCTCAAAAATAAACACTAAAAATATTTTAAAAAAATAAAATAAAATTGGGTATGTGCCAGCCTCCCCTTAACGGGCTCATATCACCTGAGGAATCAAGTCCATTCTAATGCACACCTAGGATTTAAGACCATCCTGAACTCAAACGTTCCATTTAACCTCAAAATTACCTGCATCAGTTATAGAACCTAAAGTCATGGAGCCTGATTTCATTTCCTGAAAATACCACTGGGTGTGAACTCCATCTCTCAAGAGCGGGTGAAATGGCCCAGAACAGCACGGCAAAAAGCTTCAATGTATCCTCAGTTTAAAAGGCAAAAACGCTAACAAGCGCCAAGGACCAGGTACCTACCCACAGGCATTTGCGTTTCCCTGAGTAAATCTAGAGCCTCCTGAACTGCTGCCTCCTCCTCTGCCTTCCCCAAATTCAAAATGAGTCATATCGGACATTAGGGGATCTTGCTAATATACTCCTCTAGGATTCCAAGTCAGCAAAGCTAGAAAGCAATGCTTTGTTCCACATCAGTCTCTAAGCAAAGAAATACTTTCAATCAGCTCTGGTGTTTTATTTTTAACTGTAAGTAGCTCTAAAAACTACTTTAAGTAGGCTAACTACTGCTCTAGGTTACTGAATTTTGTTTTTAAATTAGAACCTAATGTTCCCTAAGTCTTAACTTGGAGATACGAGTCCCTGAAAAAAATCACTCTATAACATCCTAGCAGCCATTCAGCTAACAGTAAAGAGTCCCAAATACCAGGAAACTCATTCTTTTGAGCAGCTGACACTAATCGTCTTTACGTTGAACAGATTTGTCTCCCTGAAGCTACTCCTTGCTCTGACGTCTCTCCCCCATAGGTAGAGAGATCTGTTTAAACCATTCTTTCACAGGACAGTCCTTCAAATAGGCTTCCATATTTTATTTTCTCCTTCCCTCCTCTTCCTCCCCACTCGTGTAGCCCAGTCCCCTTCTCTTACCCGGCGTAAATACGTCTGGTTCCTGTAACTGTCTCTCACATACTTAACTGCTTATCTATATCCTCCTGAAGTATGACACTCATAAATGGCCATGACACTGTAAGTGTGCTTTACTTTTTAAGATATATTTATTTTTAAAGGACCTTTTGAAAATGAACATTCAATATAATCAAAAGATAGACATGTTACAACATCTTTATTAAAGACTAAAGAAAGATTAAAGCAGAACATTTTCTAAAGATTATTTTAAAGAATGTTAAATGCAACATACAACACTACAAAAAAATTCACTTCAATTCAAACAATCAGCCTCTGCTGATCTTAAGCTAGACTTTCTTAGAGAAAAGGACCCACCTAAATGAAAAAGCAATATAATCCAGACAGGAATTGAAACTGCTCTCAAGTAGCGTTCAGTGCTTGCATTCCACTTGAATGAGACAGCCAACACATAGCCAACTACCAGTGTCCAGATCTTAAATAAATGAAATACAGACACAGTTGTTAATATATACACATGAAAATAAACAAACATTCGTACAAAATCTGCAAACATCTATACAGCATGAGAGCTGTGGATATAACACAGATAAGATGAAGGTGGTGGTGCTAAATGACATGTGCATAGATCTTCTTCTGTTTAAACAAATCAAGTTTTGAAATAAACAAGCATTTGAAATCCAGCATATATGGTTATATTATTTCAATAGTCTTGGGGCACCTGGCTGGCTCAGTTGGTGCAGCATGTGACTCTTGGTCCCGGGTTGCAAGTCCCAGCCCCATATTGGGTGTAGAGATTACTTAAAAATAAAATCTTAAGGGCACTGGGTGGCTCTGTCAGTTAAGCATCCAACTTCAGCTCAGGTC